CGGGGGAGGGGAAAAAAAGCGAGTAATCGCGTAACAGTTAACATGGAGAGGCACGATACGCTTAGAGCGCGCCGCGGTCGGGCGGTTGCCGTTTTTCATTCGGATAGCGGGATACGCAAATAAAAGAAGCGGTGCGTGCCGCGGTTTCGTTATTCCACCCCTTTCCCTCCCTCCGCACCCCCCCCCCCTCCCCGGATACCAGCGGTGCACGCTCGGATAAGCCCGACTATAGGTACTCGCGGAGGAGATTCTACGTTACGACACTGACTGCCGTACGTGAGCGAAACGAGTGAAAAAAAAAAAGCCAGACGGCGCCAGACGACGCGTCTGTGTACGTCCAATACTTGACATATCCACAACCGCGATCTTGTATTTCACGCGGTATTTATCTTTTCTACTTTCGATCAATCAATTCGATTGTACCGCGATAGCGATGTTCCCTCGCGATTAGAGCTACGAAACTGACTGCCGTACGCGAACGAGGCAAGTGGAGGAAAAAAAAAGCCAAACGACACTAAACAACACGAGTCCTGTCGTGCGATATTCGACAGATCCAACCGCCTCCTCGTGCGTTCACACGATATTTATCTTTTCTACCTTCGATCGATCATCTTGGTTCATCGCAGTAACGTTCGTCACGATCAAAACACCCATTTTTAACGCCACTGATATCTAACGCTAACCAAACCAAAAGGCTTCCAGGTGTAATAAGGCTTGACACGTCGACATATCGATATTGTCGCGCCGAATATCAATATCAATATGCCAGTAATAATACTCGTCAAAATATTGCTTTCCTTGTTTTCGACTGTTACAACGGGATCGATTGACTGACCCCCTTTTCGGTCGGCTGTGTTTTGTCAATTTTTTGCATGTGCAAGTTTTCAATAACTGTGCACGAACGTGTGTATTTTTGATTCGAAAATCTGAGCGGCAAATGAAAAAGAAGATAAACAAAAAAAAAAACGAGAAAGAGCGCGAAAAGCCACTTTTGTTCGGCGCGACGCGACGTGATTAGTATGCAGCGCGATGCGTCGATGGGAAGGGCGGCTTCTATGTGTAGATTTATAAAAAAAAAGTCAGCGCGTTGCGTGCGGCCATCGAGACGCGACATACAACGACGACACAACTCATTAGCGTTCCATGTGCGAAAGCATGCTAGAAATTCCCCCCTCGAGTCCGTTATTGCTGATATAAAAAAATAGGAACACTTATGACCGCTTTACCGAAATTCAATTGCGCGGTCAAGCATGGCACAAGTCGACATCGCTCGTA